CTTCTTTTCTTTTATTCCTTTTCCTTTTTTCCCTTTTTCTTTTTTCTTTAATATTTTTTATTTTCTTCTTCTTTTCCTTTATTCTTTTCCCCCTTCTTTCCCTCTTTTTTCTTTTAATCTTTTTTATCTTTTTCTCTTTTCTTTTTTAATTATTTTTAATATTCTTCTTTTATTCTTTTTCCTCTTTTCCCCCCTTTTTCTTTTTTTTTTTCTTTTTTCTCCCCCCCTTTTTTTTCCCCTGCTTTTTTCGTTTCTTTCTGCCTTTTGCCCCAGAACTCCTGGCACCCCCAGAGCCCTGCAGTCAGGGGTGATGGAGGGAGACCTCAGGCCAGCTCATCCCTCTGCCTCACTCAGCACCAGCAGATGGAAGCAAGCCGCCCCACCAGCCACTCTTCCATTTCCACCCACCGCTTGTCCCCGTTCAGGAGGGTTAAGTGCAATCTGCCTTCTCCCACAGGGCTGCTGACCTTGCTGATGTCCTCTGCTGCTCTGCCAGTGCCTCCTGCTCCCGGCAGCCCGTTGTCAGACAGAGAGTACCAAATCTTCTTTGCCAGCCTGCAACCGCCCTGGAAGGCGGATGTGTCCTGCCAGCTGCGGCAGGCACACGGCTGCCTCAGCCCCGCCATCCTGAAGCTGGACCAGAAGGAGAACCATGGCCATATCCCCAAAGGTAGGGACATCACCTCATATCCAGAGACAGAGGCCAGTATTCCCCCAGCTGGTCCAGTTCCAGCTGTTTCTCTTCCCCAAAATGCCACAGGATTGCAGGAATGGTGCTGGAATGGGTCTCCAGCCCAAACTCCGGCTTGGAGCAGGACACTCCCAGCACTAGAGCACTCTGGCTTTGTGCAAGGCAGTTTGGTTATGTGGCCTCTCTGGGCACCCCTTCCGATACTGCACTGCTTTCCTGGAGAGAAAAACTTTTCCTAAAGGCCAGTCCTAACCTCCAAAGCAAGAATTTGCTTTTTTTTTTTTACCCGTGTTGTCTGTCACAAGCAAGAATGAATGAAAGAATAGTTTGACTTTGTCATCTTGTAGCTTTCCTTCAGGTCCTTGTGGGCTGCCATTAGCTCACCTCCCCATCTCCTCTTCACCCAGCTGAACAAGCACAGCTGCCCCAGCCTCTCTTCATAGGTCATGGTCTGAAAGCCATGGCCACTTTGGTGGCCCTTTGCTGAGCTCTTGAGTTTCTCCATTGGTGGGGCGGCAGGGGAAAAAAGCGGGCCAGTTTTCTGAAGTTCTCTCTTCACAACTGCTCTTCTTACAACCCAATCAGCTGCTTCCAGCTTGATCTGAGGCTTAACACAGAAGCTTGGCTCATGGGCTCTCGTGGGCCTTTAAGAAAGCTTGAGCTGATAAGCTGCTTCTTTAAGTGTTTAACATTTCAGGAGCCAAGAAACATCCCAGTTCAGAAAGCGCCATAGCAACAGCACCCTTTAAATCACTGCAGTCATACTTTCCCTGCACCCCTGCATCAGAGAATTTAAGTGGCATAATTATATCTGTGCAGCTGAAAAACTTGGGACTACTTCTGTTGTATTTTTCTTCAGAGGAAAAAAAATAGGAACAATTTTCTCATAAAAAAATATGCCTTTATATTTAGCTATGAACGTCAATGAACTGAATGATCAGCCAACTGTGCTTATTTGGACTTCAGCCTGAGGACAACTATTTCTTGCTTGTTTCGGCAGCTGTGTCAGGGAACAGGTTCCACCCCTCATCACCAGACCCAGGGATGGGTCCTGGGCTCCTCCCTCGCTTGCAGGCACCTGCCATCCACCATGCTGTGGCACTGGGTGCCCCTGGGGGCTGTTTCTGGCTCCTCTCTCAGTGATGCCCAGCACCCTGGCAGTGCTCTTTGGCATATCGAGCCACACTTCCAGAGGCTCAGCTGCCAAAGCAGGATCACCTGGGAATGCCAGGAGGTGGGACAATTTTGCAAGATGCCCTCTTTGCCTTCTTTTCCTCCATCCCTCAGCCCAACAGACCCATCCAAAAGATTTTATTCCCCTCTGTGTTCCCTTTTTTCCAGTTTTGGGTCTATCTGGCACGTGTTGCAGCCAGGCTAAGAGGCTGAGCAGATGCGACAGAGCATGTGCCCTCACTTTTTTTGTCTCTACGGTCCTCACAGATGAATGGCAGCGCTGTCTACATCCAGATATTCAAGATATTCATGAGCATTAATTGTGCCTCTTCAGGTGCAGTGCTGAATTACCTTGAGTTTTAAACAAGGGAAACCTACATGTAGCCTTTCAATGCTCCTTGCAGTGGAAGCTGAGAGACAGGAGGATGTTTCCTGATGAGTGTATGCAAATATCTTGGCTGATTCCATCTTTTAGTGATGATGGAATTGTTAATTAATTGCCTCCCACCCCCGTCATGCTGGGAGGTTCTGCAGGTAGAGGTGGCCACAAAGCCCAAGGGAGTGGCTTCCTGATACTCAGCAGAAGCTGTAGCTGTTTACAGCAAACACATGAGCATGAGGAGCAGAGGAGAGAGACAGAAGATCATATTGATTAAACTAGGTGCTAGGAAGACCTCCCCTTGGCAGGAAGGTCAGAGAATTCAAAGAAAGATGAGTATTTCCATAGGGGAGATAAGCTGAGAGAAAGGAGCAAACAGGGATCATTGCTAAAGGAGGCAAGCTGCTTGTCAGACCATGCCATCAGCGTTCAACAGGCTGTGGGAGAACTGAAGCCATGGTGAAAATCAAGACAAACGCAAAGAGAGCCCACAGGAAAGTTTATATGTATCAAATTTTCCTTCATTTCCCAGATGCTGGAATGAAAATGTGCTTTTCTTCTCCCCCCACCATAAAATAGAAATTCCTGTATCATCATAGGAACGGTTTGTGACAGGACACAGTAAGCTGTAAAACTCCAAGCCTGGCCTGGTATGCACTGCTGAGGATGTAGTCCTGGCCCAGGAGAGCCAGGCTAACACTGGGGTTAGCCAGTGGTTGGGCTTCCAACCCTACCCAACAGCAGCAACACTCCTTCACAAGCAGTGGCTGTGTGATGGAGAGTAACTCTGCAGCTCTCAGTCTGCACATGTGGGCATTGCACTGGCCAAGTCCATGTCCCCCGCATCCTGGAGGGATTTCATAAGGCATCACCAAAGGACAGGGCGGAGATCTGTTGTGTTCCCTACATGTTGGGCATTTTTCTATGCTGGGATACCAGCGGATACCTGAAATTCTATTCTTGCTGGTGAAGCCGTATGCTCAGCACAGTAGAAGGGCATACAATGTAGAAGATGGTGTACAAGCAACTAACAGGAGAGTGGTGTAATTCCACTGCTAACCTCCTCCATCTAAGCTAGTGCTTGACCTGTTTGGTGTGCGCCAAGAGCTGGCCATGCACTCATAGAGCAGAGGGGGCACAGGATTACCCCCCCTCCCCAAATCTTGTAGGGTTTTCAGCTCTCCTGCATGACCTCAGCTACCCTGCGATCACTGCAGGAAGAGCTTCAGCTTTTGAGCCAGTCATGTTGGCAGTGCTGGCTTAAGACTATGGTGCATGTGTGTTCGGCCACAGGCTTTGTCAGCAGCATCTCGGCCCTGTGGGCTTTCCTCCATCCTCTGCACAGCTGGAATCAATGACAAACTATTTTGCCCTGAAGATATCAAGTCCTCTGGTGTTCCCAGCCTCTTGTCTGGTTATCTTCAACCCATTACATCACTACTTGCCTTTTTTTTTTAAATAAAACCCTTCAAGGACTAATAACAGAGTCCTTATCAGATCCTGAAAATAGGAGGTTTGGGTCTCTGTAAAAGGGAAGATAACCATGTGAAAAAAGGCAGAAGGACAAACTGAAACCCTGGGTGGTTTGGGTGGAAAGTGCATGTGGCACCTGGGATTGGGAGCTATAACAGCACAAGGCTGTGATTGCTGCTTGGGCGCAGAGAGCTTTCACTTTCCCTTCGACCACAGGCAGCTCTGAAAACAGCGATCTGAGAGGTCCCCACCTCTTGTTGCGCCCAGGCCGCCAAAACCTGCAGCCTGCTCCCATCTCTCTCTCACCCCTCTCCAGGGCCAGTCTGCTCTGAATTCCCAGAAGCACCGTGGTTTCAGACCTTCTGCGAGTTCGCCCAGTACCGCTGCTTGAAGCACCACTTCTACACCAAGGTGGGGAGCGGGATTCGGGACGGGGTGGGGAGGGAGCATCTCTTGGGAGACGGAAGGGGTGAGGAGGAAGGGGTGATAAGACAGTGGCGCTCATGTTTCTCCCTCTCTCCTCTGCTCAGCGAATCCCATGTCCAAGTTTGTATCCTCCAAAAAAGCTCTTGACAGAGCAACCCCATGCTGTGGGATCCTTGACAAGGGACAAAGGCTCCCCTATGGAAGAAGGTACGGCGGCACCAAGCTGCGCTGGGCACCCCTGCTCGCCTGCTGATCTCCTGTAGCTACTCCTCCCCCTAGGCAGCTCTCTGACTGGCCTCAGAAAGCCTGCCCTATCCCACTCTCTCCACAGCTCTGGCTCAGGATTCTCGCTTGTCTGTTGATAACCTGCTGCGCACCAGAGTGGACGCTCTCCTGAAGTACTCCTACGCACTCTTGAATCAGAAGCCGCTGCCAAAGAAGGTCCCCCTGCCCATGTCGGGCTTGCTGAGACCCCCAAAGGATGGGAGGCCGCCTGTGCTCCCACCAATCCTTCCAGTTCCAACTGCTCCGCCTGCCTCCTTGCCTCCCAGTCTGGGATCCCCAGGCCAGGCAGAGGAGTCCTGGCAGCAACGCCTGCAGAGCAGCATCTGGAAGCTGATCCACTTGGCCCTCTCTTTGGAGGAGTCCTTGGGCACCAAGGGCTATTCTATGGACTCCAGCCCTGGGAGCACATCAGGCAGCACCGAGAAGTGGATGCAGGAAACAGTCCCCCGTGGCAGGTGAGGGGAAGACCCGTGCCCCCTGCTCAGCAGGGTACCACATTGCCATCCATGCAGGGCTGTCCTCACGCACACTGGCTGTTAGCCCCACGGCACTCGTGCCTGAGCACAGGCAGGCTTTGTGGAGTAAACCATCCCATACAGAGTAGGAATGGACCCAGAGAACCCTTCAGACACCCCCCACTCCAGCACAGAGTGATCAGCAAGAGGGTGATCCAGCACTGCTAGCATTCAACAGTGTTACTGTCCTGAGCAAAGTGCATTTAGACCGGACGTTACCTGCAGGAAGGGCTTTATCCCATGCACATGTATCCCCACACTGTAGCCATCTGCAGTGTGCAGACACTTCTGCACTCATCCTTCTCCCAACTCCTGTCTCCCAGGAGTCTGGATGACCTGCAGGAATTGTGAACATGGGTCCTTGGGATGCTGGAGTAAATGTGTCTCACTGTGGTCCTCACCTCTCTGCATGCAACATGAAGCAGATGTTTCTTAAAACAGTCTGACCCAAGGAGCTCTCTAAGGAGTGCTCTGTCCTCACCCAGGTAGCCCAAAAGCAGCCCTGGGATAGGAGATGGAGACAGGAGCACAGAGCCTTGCTCCTGGCTGTGCAGGATCACTGCTTCTCAGGCACGTGCACCTCCCTGCGTTCTGGATCTGTGCATTGCTCTTCCTAAAGGGTTTCTGGTGCCGTGTTCTGGCTTTGAAAGCTGCTATATGCCAGTTCAGCACAGGGCCCTGCAACAGTCCAGCTTGCTGCAATCCTTTTATGCGACCTTCTTAGTTCCTCTGGCCTAGGGATGCTTTAGGAGCTTGCCGAGCATCTTGAGCTCTTCTCAGCTGATCTGCCAGGATCCATTTGCCTCTGTCCTCAGGCAGCTGGGGCTGGTGAGCCCAAACAAAAAAGACCTGCAAAAGGATCATATGTTTTTGCTCAAATGTACTTTTTGATGCTTTAGTACCTTGTGGCTGAGGACCACTTCCTTTGACTGAGATGCAAAGATTATTTTGCTTGCCAAGAGCAAAAAAAAATGCTGTCTGGATGTGGTTTTCATGCAGAAGTCATTTCGGTTTTGCTCTTTTGCGAGCTAGTGATCCTGCAAGTGCACAGGTTTTGTGCATGATTGCACATCTGTGGTTTCTATTAAAAACATTGCATAATACTACAGTTGAACCAGAGATCTCACTTCTGCACCTAAAAATGAATTGCATCATGTTGTTAAGCTATAACTGTTCTCTTGCAAGGCTGTAACTTATGTCATCCTTCTTCCTAATATTGTAGGAGGCTTCTGCAGCCTAGCAAATTTTTCCTGGTGTATGTACTCTAAGGCAAAATTCTGTTTCATTGAGGATATGTTCATTTTCCCTGCCTCTGAAATGGAGCCTTGCTCTGATTTAGTTATATTGGGATTATTGAGGGACTGCTGTGATTGCAGATGACACTCTCTATTCTGCTGCAGTTTCTCAAAGACACTAATGCTGACTGTTGTGTCTGTAACCTGGCAGCCGAGCCCCATCAATCATGCTAAGCAAAGCTTAAACTCAAGTGAGGATAAAAAGGTGAGATAGACTGTGCCTGTCAGCTTTGCTCCTCACCACATCCTGCCTCCTTGCAAAGGGACTTCAAAGCATGACCTAAAAAAGGAGGAAAATGCTTTGAGGCATTTCCATTTCAGCAAGAGGAGCAGTGCTGGGTGGAACTGGTCAGTGTGCACAGGTGCCGTTCAGTATCTGGTTTAACATGAGGTGTGCACAGTTGTGATGGGCACCAAACCCAGGGCTGTGTGTCTTCCCTAGGATCTTATGTCCAGCGGGACAACCTTCTCTTCTCGCTCATCCCTGCTCATGGCAGCTGCTCTGAAAGTTTTACTATCTTTCCTAGTACCTGACAAAGCTAACCGTGGCCTTTAGAGAGACACAGGGCAAAGGTAGTAACATAACAAGCTGAAGAATTTGCAGCACGCATTTGTGGACTTTTTGCCAGCAGTGATTCATTATGGTGGGAAAAAAATGTCTCTTATTGCACTTATTTTCACTTTTTAGTCCTTACACTGCTTTCTGCCCCAGAAAGAGATATTTATTTCCCAGTCTTTCCTCTCCTCAAAGTTACTTATAGCTCTTAGTTCTCTGTAGCTCTTACATTGTAAAGCCTGCGCAACTCATTTTCTGCAGCAATTTTCAGTGTCCCTTTAAAACATCCACACAATCTAGCTCTGTGAGCACTGTTCAGTGATGGGTTTCAGCAGTTGGGTACACAGAAGGAGGTCAACTTCCTTTCCCTTCCCTGCTCTTCTGTTTGCACACCAGAATTGTGTTTGCCCTTTTTCCCAGAGCTTCCCGCTGTTGAGGTGTTTGTCCACTACGACCCCTACACCCCTTTCGGTGTCACAGCTGCCCCAGATACAGACCTCATCCTGTTGGTATTTGCTTATGGATGTTTGTGGTTCACATGAGCCCAGCTTCCCCAGCAAGGCTGAGACGAGTCCTCCCGGCGGCTGCACCTTCCTCCTCCTGCTTTACCCCTTCAAACAGTCCATGTGGTGCTTATATACTTCATCCCTGGCAGATTTCATTTTAAGACCAGATCCTTCATTAAAAATACCATCCTCAGAAAGAACACTCTTTTTGAATTATCAACACTCATTCACGATTATTTTTCGACCCTGGGTCTGGTGGTGCAAGATGGGACCCATTCCCCTGACATTTCTCAGCTGCTTTCAGGAACTAGCTGTCACTTTGGGGATTATGTAGAGGTATCTTCTGGATATTCAGTGAGGCCAGGGCCCAATTTAGTGTCTCTATATTGCTACTGTGCATGGCTAGCTGTGAAAGGGGTGTCGTGATGACGCAGGTTGTCTTCTCGCCACCAGGGTAGAAGAAGTTCACATGCTTCCAGGCTTTTGGGACTTCCAAAGCAGAGGTCTCTCAGTGTCCCAGGGGAAAAATGGTAAAAGGCTGCAATATCATGCAGCTCAGCAGGAGAGATGTATCTACGAAATACAATTTTTCCCACCGTATGTGCTCCCCCAGCCCTTGGGCAGGTGTTGCATTCCTGTTCTCCCAATAGCTCCTGCACTGGGTTAGCCATGGGGTTTGATCTGTCAGGTACCTAAGCAGCCTGCCAGCTGCCTTGGCCTGCAGGCCAAGATCACTTTTTCTGTCTGAAGATGTTAAGAACACTTTTGCCTTAGTGGTTTTAGTTTCCTGCAGCAACTCCCCTAAATCAGAATTTATATAGTGCTGGAAAGCTGCTATTTGCTCCTTATCTTCTTTTCTGCTTGCCTCAGGTATTCACTCCACCTCACACAGCCAGCCAGTATTGGGGAGGTTCAGCAGCTGAAAGTTAATGGCCCAAATCCTTGTCACTGCGTTGAGGGAGAAGTGGATGTGTTAACCAGCACTCTTCAGAGATACCGCTGAAGTAGGCTCTATGTGTATTGCTCCACAACTTGAAATGCTAAAGCAAGATGGGCTTTTATCTGAGGTTTTCTCTTTTTGCCTTTGAGCAATTACTGACCTTGGCCAACAGATTTTTCTTAATTATATTTTTTCACATTCACTTTGAAACATTGCCTTCCACTACCTGTTAGGCTTTTTCCAGGGCAGCAGTTAGGACATTAACATGCAGAACTGCTAAACTGGGGAGAGATTTGCATTAGGAAATCACTTTAGACAGACCTATCACTTTCCCTGATGCATGGTGAAACTTCCGCACATCCATGAACAGCTCAGCAGCGTGTTAATGAGTGCAGGGGACCAGCAGCAGTGCTGTTCTACTCTGCCAAGCATGTACCGTTTGCCTGCAATGCCTCTGTGATAGAGTACAAAGCCCCAGCACTGCTGTAAGGCAGTGGAAGAGTGGCTGGATGCACCAAATTGCAGTACCAGGGCACTGGGCATCACCAAGAGAGGAACTCAGGGACATCCTCCAGGGCACCCAGTGCCACTGCATGGTGGATTGCAGGTGCCTGCAAGCAAGGGAGGAGCCCAGGACCCATCCCTGGGGTGGGACCTATTCCCCAGACACTTCTCAGCTGCTTTCAGGAACTGTCACTTGGGGATGATGTAAGTATATCTCACTCACCCAGAGGTGGTAAACCAACTGATAAATTTGAAACTGTGGGGACAGAAAACCTCCCAGCAGAGATGGAGAACAGAGATAGAGGAGGAAATGGATGTGATGCAGATAGCAGCAGAACTTCTTGTTAACCTCGAGCTGATGGTGTGGCCATTTCCTGAGTGGATGAGGGAATGTTATGAACACAGTTCACGTACATCTGCATACATGGCCAACAGCAAAGTGGCAGCAGGCAGTGCGCAGGGATGTGAGGCTTTCTGATTGGCATGAGCCAATCGCATCGAACACGGTCTATAAACCTAAAGTTTGCTGTGCAGCAGAGGCTCTTACCCGTGTCTGACTGCACCTGTTCTGAACAAGTAGGTCATCAACACTCAGCAGATGTTTTATTGCTCCTTATGATCTACTTATGGAAGTGCTCTTTTTAGAAAAGACTGGAGCCGAGTTCCCTTGTACTGCCCCTTTTGCCTGTAATCGTCTATTTGTATCTTGTTCGGGCTGTACTTGTTGGACCAGTACGTGTGTTGGAGAAAGCAAAGGCTGTTAAACCCATTTATTAGCAGTTGCTTTCTAAGCCTCAGGTTATTTATCTGCTATTTTTTAAAAAGTACATCAAGTTGGACAGTTTTCTTCTTTTTTATACTTCAGTGATGAAAACACCAGAGCTATTCATATAATTTTTAATAATGTTAACACACTTCTCACTTTACTGCATTGATCATCCTGATGTGATGAAGAAGCAATCAGTTCACAATGTGTCACTGGAATAACAAGCAAGTAGTGAAACAATAGCCAATAATGGCATATTTGTGGATAAATTCTTTCAGATAAGAATACTATCAGGGTTATTAGTTGACATTTGTGAGTCCCATCAAGATCACCCAGCCAGTTTACCAAATCTTGGAGACAAAGATCCAACTGTGCCTAAGCAGTCAAGCACCTGAGTGGTGTCAGGGACTCCCTTCGGCTGTCACACATTTATCAGCAAAGTGGACCGAACACTTGTTCTCCTGGGCTACAACTGCTTAAGAGATAAACTGTCAGTGTTAGATAATCCCCAGACAAAGAGCAAACCTTTATGGAAGAGAAATGCTAGGTGTGCCTTGTGGGCTGTCACAGGTTCTTCTCTCAGCAGGGTCCAGCTCCCAGTCACAGAAAAATGCTGAGGGGGTTGAACTGAACAACCTTAGACAAGATTTTCAAGTGGGATGAGCACAGACTTTTTTCTCTAAATTTAAAATTTCCTGTTCTTCTTGGTATCATAAACAGTCTGAGTGTTTACAGAGGAAACAAAACAAAACAAAAAAAAAAAGGATCATGTGAAGACGTGAGACAGAGGAGTGGACATAAAGGATCTTACAGGTTCTGGAAGTGCTCTCTTTAGGATAGGTGGGCTTTGCTTCTCTTTTTTACTGGCACATTTTAATTCTTTCCAGCTTTGCCTGAAAGAGTTGGTATCTGTCACTGCTGTCCTCAGCTGGCATTCTTTTGTCTTATCTGAACTCGGACCTTCCCTCCACAAACCTCTGACCAGGTTGGTCACACTGTGGTGTTTCGCAGTAAGAGATGCACAGGCTTGCAATACATCGATTTCCAGGTTTTCAGCTGTCCTTGGTTTTTCAGTGGATGTGTTTGATAAGCTGTGGGGAAGCACCATGGTAATTTGTTCACGTGTCTGTATCCACAGAATTCCATTTGCAGCCTGTCCACAGTGCAGTACAGGACAGCATGTTGAAGGAACATCTTCGCTTGCCTCCATGCAGGCTAGAGCAGCATCTGCTGCACTGTGATAAAACAAATTTGACTGTAATGTCTTTTGAAAAAATCTAGCACTCATTATACTTTCTGTGACTAAGGTTTTCCAGGTTCTCTTGTAATATCTAAGTGAGAAAGATGCCTTCAGAAATCCTGACATATTTGCTGCTGGATAGTGTGAACTGTTTGGGTACAGGATCACTTGTTTCTGACCTGCTGCAAGTGCAGAGCACATGATGTGAGCTCCTTCATCCACAGTGTGTGGCAAGGCCCAGGGATCTGTTAAGGAGGTGCACAAGACTTCGTCCTGTTAGTAGTTCTAATGCTCACCCACGTTCTCCTATGTGAGCACACACCCAAGCCCACTGCAAATGCCACGAACCTGCGTGTTCCTGGGGCACGGTCTATGCCTCTCACACATCCATGGATCTGCGAACACCAGTCACTCCTTACAGCTTGATTTCTTCACACACCGTGTAATCGCAAGAGTTTAATGGCAGGAGGTTGATTGCTTTTACCCTTCAAGCCTGGCAATTGCTCTGATCGCTCACCCTGGCCTTCCTGCTCAGCACAGGACATGAAGCCATGCCTAGTGACCTCTGAAGCATAAACAGTATCATGTGGCTGAGCTGCAGATCCTTCTCCTAAGAGAAGTTTGGGATATCTTTTTGAAGTCAGCAGTCTCTGGAGAAACCAACCCATCAGCTGGTCCTGTGCTAAATACCCTCGTTGTCAGAAACATGCAGTTAATTTCTGGTTTGAATGGATCTCTACCCCAAATTACAGTCACTAAAAGTCATTACTCTTCCATCTTCTGATGAAGAGAGTCTTACAGCTATCCCCATCTTGGTAGAAGTATAGATTGACTGAGTGGCCACCCACTAGTGTCTTTGCTCAGCTAATTAAAGGTTCTTCAGTTTCTTGCTCCAGATGGAAATTTTACAGGCCTTATGAAATCTGATCTTCACGATCTTCCTCCAGGTTCTCCACCACTTTTTTTTATTTTCTCAAGGATAATCTGAAGGTCTCCAAGAAGTTTCAGTTATTTTTAGGAAAATTTCTCCATACAGGTTAGCCCATGCATGGATTTTAAGAGCATTTTATCATAAGCAATTGCTGCTCTTACCTTTTCTTATTTTCTGCAAGATAAAAATTTATTTATCATTTACTTTATTTCCAGACATAGAAGACAAATATTTAATCAGCATTTTTACCTCTTCTGCATCATTGCTGATAATTCATACCACCCCTGCCTAGTAACAGTTCTGTACTATGTGTACAATTTCTTCTGTTCCTGAGTTGTAAAATATTCTTATTGCCCTTGCTCCACTGTCCTTAAATTTTATACCTTTAGCTTCCCATGAGGGTTGGGATGAACAGTTAGTTCATTGTTACCAATTTTTTCCCCTTTCTGTCAAATACATTGACTCAAGCAGGAGGAAGGCTGAATAAGTTACATACTCCAGACCCAAATGGCATTGCACCATGGTCAACACTCAGCAGACCTCCAACAGACACCTCCTTGGTATGCACTCAGATGGACAAATCTACGCAGCAGCTGCTGCAGGGCCCCTGGGAAAGTGCCTCAAGCTGTGTTCCTCATCCAGTCCCTCTCATGTGCTCCTGAATGCACACACACCCCTGTTACACAGACACATATAGACTGCAAACACCCCCATTCCTCCATGTGGCTTGGCCAGAAGTCCAAGGTTTCTTTGGGAGGGTTGGTTTTGGGGTTTTTTTGCTATGCTTTGGGATTGTTTTCCCCCTTTTCAGTTTTTAACTGAAGGTCTATTCCGCTTGTGACAAGAGACTTGACTTCCTTCGTCCGTTTGTCTGTCAGCCTTTTAGCCCTGAAGAATGATGAGGCAGTGATAATCCTGTGCTATGCAATTCTGGAGGGAAACTGTCTCTTGTCAGTGGTCACCGAGGCCTGGAAGGAGATGGAAGAAAGAATCCTTGGGTTTGGAGATTCGGTAAAGATGCTGATGTCCACCTTTGATCCCTACTGTGTGCAGGGCTCCCTGCACTGCTGCGCACAGTGCTCCAACAGCCAGAGAGGTGCCACCTCCTGGGAGAAGCTGACCTGGGTGACCAGAGAGGCAAGCTCCAAGCAAGGGATATAGGAGCTCCTCAGTCTCCTTTTTCCCTCCTGACCTCACTGCATCCACCCTAGGTGTGTGACAGCCTCGGGCGGCATCACATGGACCTGTGCCCTGACTGTGCTTTCTGCTCACTGAAGTTGGAACAGTGTCAGAACATCAGAAACCTGAACCGTGTTCACTGTGAGACAAACAGCTTCATCCCCTACATCAGCCCTCAGATCTCAGCCCAGCACCGGGCTGCAGGCAACAAGGTACCGAGCATGCTGCATGTCCTGCTGGCCTCTGAGGAGGAGTCTTGACTGGGTGGTGGGGAAGGGAGGAAGAAGCATGGCTCTATTTATCCCACCCCTTTGCAGATCACCTCTCCAGAGACCTCACAGGAGTATGGCATGGAGTTTTCCAGAGGGCTGAGGATGGAATACTGGTGCAGCCGGATGGCGATCCGTGGCTGTGAGGACCCTCGTGTGACCCTCTGGCTGAAGGCAGAGTACACTGCCTTCCAAGACGGAGATGACCCACACAAGGTGGGTGCCCAGTGGATGCTCCCATCCCTCCTTCTCCTCTTCCTTCTCTGTCCTTCATTCCCATTTCCCCAGATCTGTGACTCAGGAGGAGTTCAGCACCCCAGCTACTGCGTGTTCAAGAGCCACCAGTGTCTCCAGCAGAGCCTCTACAACCAGAAGGTGAGAAGCAGCCTGCGCTGCCCTTTAAATAGCCTTCTCCTACACAGCTGGTCCCTCCACAGCTAGCCCCAAGTCCCTGCCTCATTGGCCTACTGTTTTTCCCTTCAGAAGGAGAGAACTAGGTGTGTTTGTGCAGGGGGGATGACAAATAGTGACCCAAGTGCAGCTGGGATGTAATTGAGGCAGTGGGATGTGCACAGACACTGTAAGAGATGGTAGTGGAGACAGTCACTGATCATAGAATCACAGAATCATCTCGGTTGGAAAAGACCTTGAAGATCCTCCAGTCCAACCATTAACCTCACACTGACCGTTCCCAACTCCACCAGATCCCTCAGCGCTGGGTCAACCTGACTCTTCAACCCCTCCAGGGATGGGGACTCCCCCCCTGCCCTGGGCAGCCCATTCCAACACCCAACAACCCCTTTTGCAAAGAAATACTCCCTGATATCCAGTCTAAACCTTCCCTGGCACAACTTGAGGCCATTACCTGATGTGGAGACAGAGGAGCTTTGGGGAGCCTCCCACCCATCAGGATGTATATCCCCTCAGGTTAGGGTCTTCCCTGTCTACTGGATGCTTTGTAGGTGGTAATAAAAAACAAGAACATCAGAGCAGGACAGAGGACTAGCTTATATCTTAGGAAACACACAGTTTGGCTATCATCCTCTCACTCTCACTTCCCATCTGGTTCTCCCCTCTTCCCTCTGGTGCCCCCATCATCCCAGCCTCTAAATGCCATCCATCATGGGGATCCTCCTTCCCTGGGGAAAGGATGGGGAGTGATATCAGTCCTCTAAACTCAGGCTCTCCTTGCAGGTGTCTCGCCGCGGCTGCCACAGAAACGAGACGTATCAGGTGCTGAGTGAGAAGGAGGGAGAGGAGAAGGTGCAACAGTGGCAGCAGAGGTTCCTCAGCCTCTCCAAGGGGTGATGCAGAGTAGCAGGAGGATGTGCAGGAAGCACCAGGCTCTGGAGCAGGGTCTCTGGGGATGTGGTGGGGCAAAGAGCCTGGATAGACTTGGACAGCTCTTTCCAGACCCTTTGCTGGCCAGCCAGCTCTCATCCTCCAAGATCCTGCTGTGTGCCGGTGGCAGCAGCACATCATGAGGGGACCCTCACTCAGCAATATTTCACTGTGATGCCTGCTGCAACTCCTCCTGAAAACATTTTCTCCAGCCAAAGTTTCAGCGGAGCATTGGAGAAAGCATCAGCCCTGAGAACCTGGATTTAGAGCCACTGGCTTGAGCATGTTTGTCTGAAACCCCCAACCATCTCTCACCTCCCTCCCTGTGTAGGCCTGTACCACTCGTTCTCCTAAGAATGAGTCTTCTTGTATAAAGAGCCCATCTACCTGGAAAACCTAATTTGCTCCCTTCTCTCTGATGTTGCCGCTCTATTACACCCCTCAGTGACCCCTCTCACGTCTGAGTGGGGTCCCCACTCTCCCCTGCTTTGCTCCCTGTTTTTTCTCACTCACTGCAGCCTGTGTGGCCATTGAGCATGAGGACTCCAGCATGGCCTCGTCCCCTCCCAGCCCGTGGGAGGGAGCAAATCCACGGTCCCTCCAGATCCTAAACGCAGCATGTGAGGAAGGACCCGATGCATGCACTTTGCTTTCTATTGCAGCTCATTTATTTCTAAGTTTAAGGGTTTATTGGGCCTGTGTCCTCCAAACTTCCATCCAGAAAAATAATTAAAACCACAAAAAGCCCAATGAGTCTGGGAGACGGTGCTGTGTGGGGAGCTGATGGCGCCTGCGGAGCCAGGGCTGCTCTCCAGCGGGGCTCTGTGTCTCCCCCACAGCTTCCCCTGCTTCCCTGTGTCCCTCCCTCAGGGCCACCCTCTCCCTGTGGCCTTGCAGTCACCCCCTGTGCTCCCCTTCAACGGCAGCTGTGTGCACCTCCACGAGATGCCGGCACTGCTTGCACTTGACGGAGCAGCACCAGCGAAACTTGCATCTGCACTACTCCACCACCTCTGCCTGAGCCGTGTGGAAGCCCCTGCCGCAGCACAGGAGCTCGCAGCTGTCCATGGCCGGCGACATCCAGTTGCACCAACGGCCATAGGTGCCAAATACCCCGTGCCGGGGGTCCCAGTTGCAGAAGTCTGGGCTGGCCAAAAGATAGACCAGGTCATGAGCCATGTAGGGCTTGACGCGAGAGCTCTTGGGCACCAGAAGCTTGTGGAAACCGACCCGCTTGGGGTGAACATCCGTCGCCCCCTCAAACTTTTCCTTGAGGATGTTGCCCACCTTGCGAAAGGGAGGCATGACCTTCCAGCATGTGTGCACCTCGCAGGAGCCTGACACGCCGTGGCACTTGCACTCCACCTTCATGTGGGCCAGGAGAGCCTGGGGAGCAGAAGGCAGCTGTCAGCCAGACCCAGACACCCCTCCTATGCCTGCAGGCCCTGCAGCAGCCACCATTCCCCCCAAAACCTCCCACAGGGCTGGAGGGCAGGATCAGGGCAAGGGAGGGAAGGGAAGGGAAGGGAAGGGAAGGGAAGGGAAGGGAAGGGAAGGAAAGGCAGCACGACACAGAGAGCCTGTGGCTGCCCTGAACTGCTCCTTGGGGTAGGGGAGATGGACCAAGGCCCGCCTAACCAGGGAGAAGCCCCTGAAGCTGGCTTCCTTCCCAGCCCTTGTTCCTGCCCTTACCTTCCTCCCAGCCTCATTGTTGTGCAGGTTCATGAGTGCTTGGCTGGAGGAGATGCCACGGCTCCTCTCAGGGTTGTCTACAAAGGCTTGAGAAAAGGCAATCCCGTACGACAGGTTATCAGAGCAGCCCGACCATTGGAAACCTGCAGAAAGTGGCCATGAGATGAAGAAAGAAAAGCCCTGGAAGGAACTCCCAAAGGGCTGAGGGCCGTGGAGAAGGGAGGTGTCTCCTCCCCTGGTGAAAGTCTTCCCCATGGGTCTTCTCTTCTGCCACCCCCTTCCTGGCACTGGCTTCCTCCTTCACCTTCAGGGCTCAGTCCTCGGATCTTGCGGTCACAGCCACACTTCTCCAGCTCCCCACGGCTGCAGGCACGAGTCACAGCAAAGGCAACGCCAGTGGCAGAGATGGCGTGGATGAAAGCAGACTCCCACGTGCCTGCACCAGGGTGAGAAATAGCATGAGTCTGCGGAGGGGGAAGGCACTGATAGCACATGGCACAGGGGAAAGAGATGTGACTGCATGCAGGAAGGATGTATTCAGATAGAGACTGCTCAGGAGAAATCAGTGGCACGATGCTGCAGTTCCCAAGGCCTGGAACCAGTGAGGGAGTCAGTTCTGTGGGATCCTTCTGCCTCACTGCCCCCACTGTTGGCACCCTCATTTCCTGGGCTGGGAATCCCACTGAGAGAGAGAAGTCAGCAGCCCCCAAGGGAATTGAAAGGGGAGCTGTGGTGGGGGATGCCAGGGGCTGAGTGAACCACACAGAGGGGTTTTTCAGGGAGGACTCTGGTGCCTTGTCTCTAGAAGCCAGAGAGACCCTGTTTGGCTCCTCCTGCCCAAACAAATGCAAAATTTGTTCTGTGCTATTTTGGGGGCATAGGTAGATCCTTTTTCTCTGATATGCAATGAAAAAGGACTCTAGCATCAGAGGAAAAGGTTTGATTTGAGCTGCTGCTCCAAACATCTGGGCTGGTGGCAGGGTGAGGGAGAAGATCTACTGGTCTGTAGAAATGGTACCCAGAATGGTCCAGATGGGACTAAAAAGCCAAGCCTGACCAAATGAGGAAGAAGTTTAGCCAGAACATTAATATTTGTAACAGCATGTGCATTTGGTTCCATTTGCTCTTTGTTAGCATGTGGAGGAAGGCACTGGTCACTCTGGGGATGGGTCCAGTGTGACACTTGCACACTAGCCCAGGAAAGGCTAATCTGTCCAGGGGATCCTCTGGGCACACTGGAGGGACTCCATGCCACCTCTGTCTTCACTGTTTCCCCCTTGCTGACCTTGGATGGTGACCTTGCCAAAGACCTGCAGCCCCTGTAGTGTGGAGCAGTTCCACCGGCAAGAGTGAAACTGGTGCTGGCACTCCTCAACAGCCAACTCTGCACCTCGCCTCACTGCATCCATGGCTTCCACCTGCCGCCAGCAAACACGGACCTGCTTTTCTACCAGCCCCATCAGACCCTCACAGCCACGGGGATCCCGGAAGATGGCCCTCAGAGAAGGCTGCTTGGCCAGGTACCTGTGGGGTAAGGGAGAGATTCAGTCACAGATCGGCTAGAGCCAGGGCCATGTCTATGGAGGACTAGCCCTTTATAGCCTTATTTTAGAGCAGAAACAGGGCAGAGAAGGGGATGTGCTGCCTCTTGTCCATGCTGAATTTGGATATTCCTGCTCCTCATCCTGGTATCCACCTCTTCAGCTTCACCATCCCTCTCCCTTCATGCTCCCAGAGATGCCCCTTCTAATGTGCTGGCTTTGGGTTGCCCAGGTTACTTCTTTCACCCTTTTCTCACAGATCTGCCTGTTTTCTTGAGAGACAGCACCTCTCCAGGTGACTTTCCAATCCAGACAGTACAAGTGTGAAGCATACTTACAGCCAGGTCACAGCAAGGACATGCTGCACAGGGATCAGTGCCACGTACAGCCGCACCATCTCCATCCTGTCCCCAGCAAACCTCCACCTTCAGTCAGGGTGTAGCAGCCACCTGAATCCCCTCCTGCACCCAACAGTCACTCTCACAGCAGCTCCAGCCCAGCACTGCAAGGCACGGGTAGCCCCTGCCCCAAACAATGACCATGGGCTGCCTTGGTGTGTCTGCCAGCATTGGAGACCCAGTAGCCCACAGAAACCTGCTGAGTTGGCCCTGTCAGGGCACCCACGCCAGTGCTGGTCCCTCCCCACAGGTCAGGCAGCACTGTGGGAGAGCTCTGAACTAGGGCTCTGAGGTGGGCATCCATCAGAGCGAGCTCACATGGCTGGGGACAGCATCAGTGTTAGACCCCTGGTCTCTGCTCTCCTGTCAGCAGATGATCCGGTTGTCTTCCTCCACAGTCAAGTCACTTCATCATCAGGAAGCAGTCCAAGACCCAGTCAGCAGCAGACAGAAATTTCCACGCAAGAAAAACCTGGCAGCACCAAGCAGCTGTTGCTAGACCCACCAGCTCGTCATCGCTTTGTCACCAAGCCCTTTAGAGAGCCGGAGATTTTCCCTGCAATGACGGCTCATGGGAGCTGAGAGGGGAAGACCCGCTGCCTCCCTTATCCCCAACTGATGTCCTTGAAGACCCTCCCTCATCTGCTTCCTCCAGGCTGGAAATTCTTTTCTACCCTGCAGCCCACATAGCTACAGCAAACAGACCAGCCCGGCTGCTCCCTGGCTCTCTTAACTCTTTCCCTGGCAAATCTCCCTTCACCCCCCTCATTTTCTTCCCCATGGCAAGAGAGACAGTCCTTGCCCTTCTCCTAAGCAGGTGTGATTGGGTGGCTGCCCCTCTTCTCAGTGGGTAGCCCTTTCCTAAGAGCTCCTGGGAGTCCAGGAAAAAGTGAGTTGAGCAACTGGGGAGCTGAAATGTCCTGGGAGAAAACCCTGCCGTTCCCCCAGTGGGCCTGGGCAGTGCCAGATGTCCCCACCACCCTGGAAAGTGAAACTCTTCACACAGCCCAGAGATTTCTGCTTTTCCCGTCTGAATCATTCAGAAAGTGAAACACGGCTGCCCTGGCCCTGCTATAGTTTTTCCACCATGACCCCATGTGTGGTTCCACCCCTTTGCTGTGCTCTTCCACATTTCCCTGCACGAAGAAGTCTGAAGAGCACTGGCGTTTATCAGTCAATCCTTTTAAACCTGAGCAGCCCCTCTGCTGTAGCACGCTTTTGACCTCTCTTCTTGCCTTCCCAGGTCCCTGAGTCCCTCATTCTGTTGGGTCCTTGCTCCTGTTTTCTGGAGTCAGCACTCTGGGGTGGCAGGCATGCTGGGATCTGCAGCATCAGGGTGTAGCTTCTGACACACACCCCAGTAATCTGGTTTTACCTGCTGTCAAGTCAGACAGCAGCAAGGAAACACCAAGGGTTGTGCTGCTCTTCCCAACAAGCCGAGTCTCCAAGATACAGCGAGGGGCAGAGGAGTGAGCCCACCTGGGCAGGGGGAGACAGAATTCACGGGCTGATGCACCAAGAGCTGGTGAGGTGAGTGAACCTGGCTGGGTGAGGGATGCTGTTCAGCAAGGTGAAGTGCCACCATGTCCTCCTCTGACACACACAGTAAGGTCAGGACTGACAGGCTCAGATGGGTGTGTGCACATGTGTGCAGGGGGTGAGGGCCACTGGGGAGGGGAAAGTTCCCACAGACGGTGTCAGAGATGCCTTTTGCAAAGGGAGAAGGACACACGGACACACACACGGACACACACACACACACAGAGTATATCTGCAAGCCTTTGCCAGTACCAGACCCTTAATGGGAACGGAAGAGACACAAAAAGCTGTGAGGACAAAGATCCCAGCAACTAGGAAGTGAGAGAGGGGGTCTGGTTAAAACAGAGGCACTAAAAAGGAGTAGGGTGAGATCAGCAGTTGGTGCTATTGTACTCTCCAAGGATTTATGAGCATCAGGAACATACATCCCTTGGTGTGTCAATCCCTGAATGAGGAGGCAGTGACAGGAGAACAAGGCAGGCAGGGAGTGAGAAAGTCAAACACCAGCAGCAGCAGCCATCAGGCAGAGGAGCCAGGCAAGAGCTGCAAGAGAAAGAGGGAGCCCACAGGCATGGCACCTTCTTCTCAGGGCAGCTGCTCTGGGGGAAGGATGACAGTAGGATTAGGAGTGTCCCCAGGACTCGTCTCTTCTTCCAGGTGTGCTGGGACTGGCAGAGCAGAAATAGGACTTGAGGGAACAGAATGCCAGATGGGCTCTGCAGAAAGGCAGATCCTTTCCCAGCTACAGTTGGCAGTGTGCTTGATTGCAGATGTCCTGCTAAATCAGCCTTTGCACCTTCTTAGCACTGTGCCTCCTGTAGCCTTGAACAACAGGGACTTACATTTGTGGCAAACATACCTTTGCCTGCTGCAAGCACTGACACCTCTTCAGAGCATGGTTCTTTTTGGGTCCCTGCCACATGCCAGTGGTGCACAGCAGGGCCCCCAGGCAGGAGTTTGCGCCCAAGCCCATGGGACTGACAGGACTCTGAGCCTTTGTGCTGGCTAGTGATTAAATCAACTTTGCTCTCACTTCCCGTATTTCACTTCTACATCAAGTTTGGCAATATTTTGGGGAGAGGGATGTTTTCATTTTCCCCCATCAGTCCTGGGGGTGGCTGAGTTAACATGGAAGCAAAGACCAGCAAGTATTTGGCACTATGACCCAGGGCAGACCTTCTCAGTTGCAAGGACACCTGGGTGTTGCTTCTTTCTTGATTACGTTTGCTTTCATAGGATGTGTTTTAGCTTATCAGCTTCAGATAGCAAAGTTCATGCTTTGTGGCCAGCCAGAAGCACATCAGGAAGTGAGGAAGGAGGGGAGACAAACTGCAGCATGACAGATGCAGAACAAGCCATGGCGCAGTAGAGGACAGCTATGATTTGGATGAACAAGTAGCCAAAGAGCCTTCTTGGTTCTGTTTTAATTCAAGCTGCCCAAAGTTTTGGTGCCTGGATCAAGACCTCTGTAGTGACAGCGATCGCTAGCCAGCAAGACCTTGTACACCCTTAGCTCTTCACCAGCAGAGAGGTAAGAGATGGAAACAGCTGGAGAGATGGATGGTCTGGGCTCACTGGGCACTGGGACCTGACCACATAGCACTGGGAAACCCTTGATGCCTCTTCAATTGCCTAGTGAACCCAGAGGTGCAAGGCAAATCTCAATATTTATTCAAACAGAGGGTTTCTTCGGGGTCCTGTGATACTAAAAGCATGGGCAGCTTGCTTGTTTAAGCAAGAGCTTACTTGCCAAGGTGCCCACAATGGAAATCCTCTTCTATGGGGTCCTCGGAAGATGAAGGGGGGGTGGCACCTCTAGGGAGTAAGCAGTAGCAGTGTGATCAGACTGCGTGAGTTAAATACGGAGGTCTCAGCTTTGACATCATGTATCTCTCATTAAAAACAAGCCATCCTAAGTCTTGAACATCTTCATGGTTCTAATCACCACAACATTTTTTTTTTTTTAAAAAAAGGTGGAAATTGGGGCTTAAATATCACTTACAGCAGGTTAAAAGCATTCACATTTATGAAAAAATATACCTTCAATTTCTAAACCAAAGTTGGGTGGGTTTTTTGAGGTTTGGTGCATTCTTTGTTATTTCCTCTTGGTTTCAGATTTACTAAGAGAGCTCGTGCAGTTTGTGTTTTCAGCTGCACTGCTTTGTACCTCAGTGCAGCATTCACTGTCTGCATCCCCAGAGCACTCTAGGGTTTAAATGACAAGTCTTCTCAGAAACACTCACCCTGTGGCATGCTCAGCAAGAATTTTCTAGTTGTCTTCCTGACCTCTGGCTCATCTCAGACCAGCACCCCACAGCAGCCAGGGCCCTGAGCAGCTGTCGTCTGAGTGGGGAGGCCACAGGAGAAGGTGTGTGGGAGTGGAGGATGGTGCATTCTTTTCAGCTGCTTTTTTGAGGATGTTTGCCCACCCTCCAGCATCACGTTTTCCTCTCCCCTCACACAGCAACAGCAATTGATGTTGCTCACATCTCACAACTATACCATCAGCTCTTCCTCCCTCACCAATGTTTCCGCTTCCCTCTAGTTTCTGCAGCTTCTCCTCTGCTGCAGCCGTTGCTCATAGAGTGTGTGTCTGTGTGTGTACATGAGCACATGCACACATGTGTCTGGTCTATGTCGTTCCTCCTGTTCCCCTTCCAGAGCAAGAATACTAGCAACAAATTAATTTTCCACCTGAAAACAGAAAGAAATATCTGACTAGGTAGCAACTAGGGTTTGAATATCTCTTTTCCATTCCTGCTGGAGAAAAGGCCAAGGTCTCAGCAGATGGCCTTATACTGATCTTCACTGAGAGGTAAAAAGATGCTTCCTCCACCTCCTGGGCCACATAAGGTCAGTCACCAAACAGAAAGTTCCTGCAGAATTTCAAGACAGCACCTCATCGTGAGGAAGATGAAAATTCAGCTGGAGTACCACTGCCTCCTCACACAGCTGATGGCTTGAGAGGTTCTTTTAGAAGCA